TTTTTTTTTGGCAGAACTGGGGATTGAACTCAGGTCTTTGCACTTGCCAGGGAAGCGCTTATTCTACTGAGCCACCTCCCTTGCCCCCCATATTATTTTTTTTTTTAAAAATCACTAAATTTTAAAAAACTTATCTGACATCAGGCATGGTGATACACACATGCCATCCTAACACTTGGGAGGCTGAGGCAGGAGGATCTGAGAGTTTGAGGCCAACCTCTGCTATACACTGAGTTCAAGGGCAGCCTGAACTATATAGTGAGACCGTGGCTCAAAATCAATCAATCTGACAAAACAGATCCTCATTTTCATTAGCTTACTATCAGAGGAAAGGCTTAGCTTTGAATATCTTCATCTGGCGATTACAAATTTCCCTTTTCCTGTCATAAGACGCAATGGATATTTACATCATCTGCCTTGGGCAGCAGCTGCAGGACCCAGGGAGTCCAGTCCGTGCATAACACTGGTGCAGAAGCCTGGCAGACCTGATGGGGGCCAGTCGCAGAACCCAAGTGGACACCAGACGGCTGCGGGGACCTGGTGAGCCCAGCCCATGCAGAAGCTCTGCTGAGCTTCGGCCGCAACACCCCACCCCCAGTCTTGGGAGCCTTGGGTGAAGATGGAAGTAGAGTACTGCTGCCAACAAAGTGATTAACTGGTAAAATCAATGGATTTCCTGAGAGAAGACCCACCTTGGGCATGAGTGGCACCAAACAACGGGCGTTCCTCTTGAGTAGGGGGAGAAACCAAAAAGGCTCGCTGCTTCCTGCCTACCGTGTCATGAACTGTTTCTTCTAACACCCCTATTCCATGCCACTCTGCCTTGGAAGCAGCCAGGTGTGGATGAAACCTTTACAAACTGTAAACTAAAATAAACCTTTCCTCCTTTAACTTGTGGGTATAAGGTATTTTGTCCCATCAATGAGAAGGTAACTAAAAAGCTGGGATTATCTCTCTTAACCTAATAATACTAAAAATTCATTTATCTGTAAGAAAAAAGGAAAACACCTCTTTGAAAACTATTAAATGTGTTTCTAGTGCCACTACTCTTACCCTAAGAGTGTTATAACTGATGATGCTGGAAGATAAAACACTTTGGGTAGAAGTTTAATCCAGCTTATATCAAAAAGACTCTGAAAAATCACAATAAAACATGTACCTTTTTCCTGCAAAAACTAGGAAGTATGGCATTAAGAACAATTTTATAACTGTTCATAAATAAAAGGCTAGGGCACCCCCCCACTCCAAATTATGGGTATTTGGGCTACAGGACTGGGTCAGATCCTACAAAGCAGATTCTCAAAGATTTCTCTGGCTCTTTTCCTAATAAATCAGAACCAAGAAATTCTCAAAAAACTAAAACAATTTTAATTGTTTTCCTTGCCTTTGGCTAAATGTCACACAAACAACAGAGACTCATTTATTTTGGGCTCACTACCAGACCAATTCAAATGCACAGTGAGAGCACATGTACATATCTCAAAGGGAACTAGCCCCCTTTATTATTCTACAAATGTGATATACAGACATACTGTCATTGCTAATATTTTATTTTTGAGTAAAAACATACCTAAAACACATAGCCTTACCCTTCCTGAATAACTATAAAGGGATTATTTCTTTAGCCAAGTATAAGCTCATGAAGCTTTTTATAATTATAGATTACACATATAATTTTTATTTTATAATCTGAATTTTCAGAGCACATCCCAGGTGAAAAGGAACTACTAACACTGTTGGAACTGTGGAGAAATGGGGAGGAGGGGACATAGGAAAAACAATTTCAAAGTGACTCACTATAATTAAGAGGTGCCGGGGCAAAATTTAATTAACTTTTTTTTTTTTTTTTTTTTGGCAGAACCAGGGATAGAACTCAGGCCCTTGTGCTTGCCAGGGAAGTGCTCATTCTATTGAGCCATTTCCCCGGCCCCTGTAATTAACATTTTCAAATAGTATAGGGCTGAATACTTTAACTAGAAATACCAAAATTGTTCCTCAAATGAAACGTAGGAGATTTATACTGCAGTGCTTATTTATTTGAATAAATGCTTCATACCAATGGTAAGTGCTATAAATATCAGACATATTAGCATAAATGTAAAGTTATAAAAAGAAATGCAGACAAGTAAGACTTGCCAGTGATTTGAATGGAAAATGAAGCTCACATAGTTTTAAAACTTATCACAGTCTCTCAATCAGCATAAGGTGAGAACCAACAGAAGGGGGGGCAGCTAAGTCAGCATTTGGAAGCCGCAGGAGGGCATGTTTATGCACATGCACATGTATATATACACATAAAGCTTTTCCTTCTTCCCATTCTATTTCTCTGGGCTTTGAACCAATTTTGTACATGTTAAAAACAAAACAAAAATACACTAGTTGCCTTTATAATACTGGCTGTTACCTAAACACTTACTTGATTAGTTAAAGAATTTTCAATAGGATATAAAGCCTGCAGCTTCCTTGGGGGCCGGGGAGATGGCTCAGTGGAATAAGCGTTTCCCTGGCAAGCGCAAGGGCCTGAGTTCAATCCCCAGTTCCGAAAAAAAAAAAAAAAAAGCTTCCTTACCAATAGAATGGCCATATAAAGAGTAAGAAATTATAAGGACATGAAAATATGTGCAAGATACATATTTGGTGTGGTGGTTTTTATTCATTCCATCATTTTTTTTTCCTGTTAACTTATAGAAGTTTTACAATTAGCTGGAATTCCTACGTGATTATTCCTCCTCCTAAAAAAGGTCTTTTTTGGTTTTGTTTTGGAGACAGTCTTTTATTTCTTTTAATGTATTTAGTACAGGGGCTCACTACGCAGCTTGGACACATAATGATCCTCTTGTTTTCAGCCTCCCAAGTGCTGGGGTTACAGGCGTGCACCACCACACCTGGTCTAAGGGGCCTGTTGAGTGTACTTGAGTGGCATCTGCCAGGGATCAAACCCCAGTCCTTGCACTCGCCTAAGCAGGTGCTTAGTCTGCTGAGCTATCTCGCCGGCCCTGAAGACAGAATCTTGCTAGTTTAGGCTGGCCTCAAACACATGGGGATCCTCCTGCCTCAGTTTCCCAAGTGCTGGGATTACAAGCATGAGCCACAATGTCTGGAAAAAGGTTTTGTTTTTTTTTTTTAAAAATTATTCTTTTTTTTAATTTTAATTTTATTTTATTTGTGTGTGTGTGTGTGTGTGTGTGGCCAGCTTAGCCCACCAGGGGGCAGCCCTGGCTGGCCTGTGGTGCTGGGGGATTGAACCGCGGTCCCTGTGCTTTGCTGAGCTTGTTCTAAGTAGGTGCTTTAGACCACTGAGCCATCTCACCAGCCCCTGGAAAATGTTTTTTTTTTAAAAGAGCTATGTCAAACTACATTATAAACTAATTCATGAGTTAATAACTTTTTTGTATTATGTTTAAGGTCTAATAAATTATAAAAGACAATATAAGATAAATAAGATTTGATTCCTCTTTAAACTTTCTTCAAGTAGACTGGGCATGGTGGCACATGCCTATAATCCCAGCACTTGGGAGGCTAAAAACAGGAGGATCACTATGAGTCTGATTTGTGTAGTGAGATCCTGTACTAAATACATTAAAAAAAAACCCCAACCCCCCCCCCAAAAAAAAAAAAAAACAACTTTCTTCAAGAATATAGCAACTAATTTTATGTTCTGGTCTTATTTTCTAATCACAAATTTTCTTAAAAATAAATGTTTTGTGACAATTTTGATTTGCTTATTAGAAAAAGTACAGTAACTTCAACTGGGGACAATGGCACATGTCTATAACCCCAGCAATTCCAGAGGTTGAGGCAGGAGGATCACAAGTTCAAGTTCTGCCTAGGCAGCTGTGGTGGACTGCCAACACAGTTGGTCAACTTGTAACACCCAGCTGAACTGTACAGTGTGGTGCTGGGCGCAGGGGGCCCACCTGTGGATTGCTGCCAACAACATAAAAAGGAGAACTAGAGAGAAAGAGGTGGTGCTGTTGTTTCTCCTGGAGATGTGTGTTGCACTGGTTCTCCTGATATTATTTCAGTTGTTGTGTCAGAGGAGCTCAGGACTTCTTTGTCAGGATGGCTGCAGTTCACTTTGGGGGAGGCTCTGATCCTTACTTTGAGAATCGCTTCTTGGCTCCAGAGAGGAAGATGGGAGTGCTGTTGATTCTCCTGGAAAAGCTGGTCACACTGGTTTTCCTGATATGAACTCGGCTGTCCTCGTCGCTGAGGATGGCTGTGGTTCTCTGTGGGGGAGCTCTGGTCCTTACCTTGAGCACTGCTTCCTGGCTCCAGGGCAGATCCCCAGCCTGCTGCCGCAGACCCTTCACTGGGCTTATGTGGACTTTCTGGCTTCTGCCACTGACCTATGGGCCTTGCCAGCACAGATCCATGAAAAAGACTCGCATGAGACATTGTTGTGGGCACAAGGCCTCTGTTGGACCAGTGGGGGGCATTGCCATGGCTTTAGGTTTTCAGGTGAACTTGCGTAGGTCACTGCCGTGGGATCCAGGTCCTCAGCTGCATTCTTTGGGTCTCTACTGTGTGGACAGACCTCCTGTACTCTTTTTTTGCATTTGACTCTTTTGGTGACTATCATAAAATGATTTTATAAATTATGTGTCCTGTATTAATTCCCTTCCCTTGAAGACCCTGACTACAATAGCAACTTCCTGAGATCTTGCTTCAAAAAATTAAAAACGGGCAGGTATGTAGCTCAATGAGAAGGCAGTTCTTGGTTTGATCCCCAGTACCCAAAACCAAACCAAACCAGCAAAAATCTAGTAACTACATCATCATCTGAAGTTAGTAGGATTTTAATATCAAACTTTTCAAATCAGGCCTGATAATGCAGATGAATCAGAAGCAGTTGTGTCTTTGATTCTTTGGGCTTTCCTTCTAATTTAAATATAATTAATTAATTATAAAAGAAAAGATAGGGCCAGGGGCACAGCTCAGTAGAATAAGTGCTTGCCTGGCAAGAGCAAAGACCTGAGTTCAATCCCCAGTTCTGCAAAATAAATAAATAAAAATAAAAGATAATCAAAATGTCAGAGCAATCTATTATTTTTCACTTATTTTCATAGGAAAAACATATTCACATACAATCCCTATTTGGTGTACCTAATGAGTTAGTTGAAAAATAAACCTGAATAGTATTTCTTTTTAGTTTTGCTTTTTGTGGTGTTGAGGACTGAACCCAAGGCCTTTTGCTGAGCTTTATCCTTAGCCCTTTATAATTTTATTTTATGAGACAAGTCTCCATAAGTCACCAAGCTGCCCAAACTAGCTAAGTTGCCCAGGCTGGGCTCAAAGTTGTGATCTTTCTGCCTCAGGCCCCGGACTGCAGAGAAATACAGGCATGCGCCACTATGCCACGCTTAACAACATGTATTTTTGAAATGTATCCTCCACAGATTTAACAATTTCTTTAAGTCTTGGGACCATATATTAATTTCAAATAAATGGCTGTTGTTTTAATTTGCATTTTACGGAAGGCTAGTGATGTGGAGCATTTTTTCATATATTTATTCGCTTCTTTAATTTCATCCTCTGAGAAGTGTGTGTTCATCTTGGATGCCCATTTCTGGATTGGGTCTTTAAATTTTGGGGTCCTAATATTTTTTTAGTTCTTTATAAATTCTAGAAAGCAGCTGATTTTCACTTTTTTTTCTGGTTAAACAATACACAATGACTTCAATTATTTCAGCTGACTAGACTAGTTCTTTTTATCTTTGTCTTTTTTCTTTCTTTTCCTTCTTTTTTTTGACAGCAAGTTATACCTGTTGGGGGCCTGCCCCTTAGCTCAGTTCTTTGAGTGGCTGCTTCAACAAAGCTGTCAGGCTCAGGTTGCTGTGGTTCGATCCCCACAACTCAAGCCAGCCAAACCTGCCCTGAAGGCATTTGGAGAAAAAAGAAAAAAAGAAAATTCTTAAGTTATACCTGTTATAGCAAGTATGCAGTCGGGCTGGTCTTGAATTTACTAATAACTCTCCCTGGCCGTCCTCAAACTTGTGCTGGTCCTCCTGCCTCAGCCAGAGTGCTGGGACTGATTCCAGGGTAGACTGCCACATCCAACTTAGAACAGTTTCTAAATGATGAGTTTTTATAGCTGTTTTTGGCAAAAGGACTAAATAATTATGGCTAGATTTTTATTCAGAAGATAACATCATTTTATGTGTTTGCTTTTGATTTTTGGGATGGGTCTACAGGGTGTTCAGGGTCTCACTACTAAATCTTGGATTTGTAGTGATCAGCCTGTTTATAGCCTCCAAAGAGTTGGGATTACAGGCACACCCCACCACGCCCAGTCTCAATTGCCATCTCAGCGCCTCCCAGGACAGGGTGGCACAGCAGGTGCACGGGGATCAAACCCCTGGCCTCTGCACCTGCTTGTAGGAGCTTTAATCCATCCAGCTATTTGGCTGGCCTTAGAAGATAACATTTTTTAAGGTGAAAATTTTATAAGTACTTCAAGGCTATAAACATTCCTTGTTTTGTGATTTTTACACCTAAGTTTGTTTATTTTTGTATTTTAGTACAGGGTCTACAGGGTCTCATTACATAAGGATCCACCTGTGTTCAGCCTCCCAAGAGCTGGGATTACAGGAGGGGGTCACCACGCCCAATCTCAATGGCCATCTCAGCGTGCCCCTGGGGCAGGGCCAGCATGTTTAAAAGATAGTGATTAATCACAGATAATATTTAAGTCTTACTAAATGTAGAGAATTTAGATGCCAAAGCCTATCTTTTGATAGTTTTCTCTTTTTTTGTAAATATAAATAGGAATATTTTGATATTAAACTGTATTATTTCTCAGACACTGCAAAAGAAGAAATACACATTAAGCTTTCTTGAAAGCAAGGAGCGGCAACACTTACTGGACATAGCAGAGAAACCCTTAGGCTGGTTGTAGCAATTTCACTGTCTGGATCCGCAGTCAATTTCTCTTTAACTGAAATTCATTGAAGAGAAAACAAAATTAGAACAAGTTTACTAAAGGTACATTATTGATGCAACATAAAGACAGAGCTGAAAATAGGAAATGTGTTTCAAAAAGGAAATAAAACAATTTGCTCAGTTATTTCCAAATTGAACAGAAAGATAAAACCAATTATGTGATTTATACTTTCTTCTTTTTTTAAAAAAATTTTATTTAAGTGGGGGGGCAGCTCAGCCCACCAGGGGGCGCGGCTGGCTGGCATGTGGTGCTGGGGGATCGAACCGCGGTCCCTGTGCTTTGCTAAGCTTGTTCTAAGTAGATGCTTTAGACCACTGAGCCATCTCACCAGCCCTATACTTTCAATAATAAGCAAAAAAGCAAAAGAATTGTACACCTACAGGCTATATTTTCTGTAGTACTATTTCTTACTACTTTTTAATCACATACATAATTACTTGAACTCTGCATTTATTTACATATAAATTAGTTGTGCTATCTTGGGTTAGGCAGTATTTTCCTTCGGCTTAATTTTACTTAGAGTAAAACTTAAGCAACTCTAGATAATCTCTTTTTAGTTCAAATTGAAGTTTGGCTCTTAGGAAAGGAAGCACAACTTTACTTGTCATGGTTGTTCTTTTATTCCTTTACATATCTCAGCTGAAATACTGAGGCATCAGCTCCTACTTCTGAAAACTTCAGTCAACAACCACAAAACAGGAAATGCCTAAATGTGATATTCTAATAATTTTAGGAAGTAGACTACAATAACTTTAAAGTCTAGACTGTACAGGAAAGGGTGGTGGACAAGATAAAGTGGTTGTTCACATACGTGGACCGCAGAATTCAGGGCTGTGGCACAGCTAGGTTTGATTAGATTTTTTTTTTTTTTTTTTTCCGGAATCAGGGATTGAACTCAGGCCACTGCGCTTGCCAGGCAAGTGCTTATTCCACTGAGCCAGCTCCCCGGCTCTAGGTTTGATTAGAGAGATAGTAACAGTTAAAAAAAAAAAAAAGAGAGAGAGAGGGAGAGAAGAGAAAAAGTTCTCAGATAAGAGAGATTTCAGAACAGATATCTTAAAAAAAAATAGATAGCTACTGTGCTGATAACTATTTGTGAGAAGAATCCTGCCTTCACTAAAACATGGTGCCCAATGTTTTGCTTTTTTGAACTACTTCCATAAATTAGTGGACTTCAACTAAGACACATATTAAAACTATCTTTAGAGCATTCTACTATATAACTGCCCAATGAATTAGAATATGGAAGACAGACACAAATTGGTGTCAAATGAAAAAAATCTTCATGGCCTGAAAATTCCAAATTTAAAAAATTTTATATATTTTATGAATTTCCTATTCAAAAGGTGCAAAATCCTAGATTTTTTGTTTGGAAAATACAGTCACCCTAAGGCTATGCTAAATAAAATGTAAATTATGAAAAGTATGCATTTTCTATTATATACTCAATTTTCGTTGTCTTTCTTATAGGGATATACATTCAGATGATGAATTTTGACTGGAGTAAGAGAAACCCAGGGAGCTACTAAAGCCCTGTCTCTGGGTGTGTCTGTGAGGTGATTCTGGATAAGAGTGACAGGAGATCTGATGGACCAAGTAGAGGAAGATCCGCTATCCATAGGGATGGGCACTATCCAAGCAGCTCAGGGGCATAGAAAGAAGGAACAGACAGCAGAAAGCCACCTTTTCAATGCCTGCTTGGCTTCCAAGTCCTAGGACTCCCTCTGCTCTTGGACATCACAGCTCCAGTTTGCCAGCCTCTCTCTGGAATGCAGGGCTTGCATGAGTGGCGCCAAGGGCTCTCAGGTCTTCAGCATCAGGCTGAGCTATACCATGACATCACTTGGCCTGCAGCCTCCAGGTTTGTACTCAGCTATGCTTCCTGCTTTCCTGGTTCTCTCCCTAGCAGATGCCACTCTTGGGACTTCTCAGCTTCTATTAGTGTATGAGCAAATTCCCTATTAAACCCCATCTTGTTTATTTTTCTCTGTATGCCCTGTTGCTTCTCTCTAAAGAATTCTGATGAATATCTAAGCATTCTGCATGCCTTCACCAACCACCTAGCAGGCATCCCTCTTATACACAGCAATGGGAATAGTGATTGACACTGAACTCTGGGTGTCTAAGCTTCCACTTAAAGGGAAGTAAAAAGAACCAGGATGTGTTGTGTACACACACCGAGTCCCCACCATGAAAGCAATCATTATGTACTGCAAAGATGGACTAATAAAATTTTTAAAAATTAAAAAAAAACCTTCCACTTAAGCAAAGCAATGCCATAGACCTTAATAACAGCTTTAAGAAAACCAAAGCTCAGAGGTAATTAGGGAAGAAATTGAAATAGGAAAGGCAACTTGAGGTAACAGTTCAGAAACAGCACAGAGAGCCAGGAAGTGTTACTAGCTTTAGTTAAGTCAGTTAACTTTACATCTTAAGTTTTAAACTCTGGTAAATAGATTAATAGTAGCTAATCACATATTCTAAGGGTTAATATATGTAAAATGTTTTAAAACACACATTATACTTAATAATTATTAGATATTGTTACCCAAGATAGAATGTAGTTTGTAGTTTTACATTCTCTGAAGTGAATTTTCTGAAGTTATTTTAGAATGCTTGCCAATTTCTATTACACAGAATAGAACACTCTCTCTTTCCCACTGTAGACCCAATCCTGATCAATCTTCTAAAGACACCTTTAGAGCTCATACTAAGGTTTTGGCTGGTTTGGATTAAAGTTAAAGGTGAATTTAGAGAACAGGTGTTTTTTTTTTTTTTTTGCGAACCAGGGATTGAACTCAGGCCCTTGCACTTGCCAGGCAAGTGCTTATTCTACTGTGCTACCCCCCCACCCCCCGCCGAACTACAGTATTAATGACACCTAGTCCTCTGATATATTAATAAGGTATCTCTCTCCATTTATTCAAGTCTTAATTTTGCTTAGCAATTCTTCAGTTTTCAGCATACAAATCTTGCACATACTTTATACAATGTACACCTAAATATTTTTGGCTATCACTGTAAATTCTTATTTGAATTTCCAATTATTTATTACTATTAAAAATTCAGGGCCGTGGGGCTGGTGAGATGGCTCAGTGGTCTAAAGCACCTACTTGAATTGAAACAAGCTTGGCAAAGCACAGGGACCGCGGTTCGATCCCCCAGCACCACATGCCAGCCAGCCCCGCCCCCTGGTGGGCTGAGCTGGCCACACACACAATAAATAAATGTAATAAATAAAAATAAATAATTAAAAAAAAAATTCAGGGCCGGTGAGATAGCTCAGCAGACTAAGTGCCTGCTTAGGCAAGCACGGGGACCAGGGTTCAGTCCCTGGCATCACATGCTGCGCCAGCCCTGTCCCCAGGCACACTGAGCTGGCCAACAAGACCAGGCGTGGTGGTGCACTCCTATAATCCCAGCACTAGGGAGGCTGACAGGAGGATTACTATGAGTCTGAGCTGTGTAGTGAGACCCTGCACCAAATACAATTTTTTTTTTTTTTTTTTTTTTGGGGGCAGAACCAGGAATTGAACTCAGGTCCTTGCGCTTGCCAGGGAAGCGCTTATTCTACTGCGCCATCTCCCTGGCCCCCAAATACATTTTCTAAAAAAAAATGCAGTTCATTCATTTGCCGTACTGACACTGCAAATACAAATCTGGTCTAAATGTACAGACTCCCAAGCCAACAATGTACAGCTTTCTTCGTCCTCCATGCTGAGAGATATAAAAGCTCAAGGGCCAAATAATACCAAATGTATAGGCTTCAAAAACCACCTAAGTTAAGGGCATTCACTAGTTTTAATTAAGATACATCTAGAACACTGACAAGTAATCATATACAATAACGCCAAGTAAGTTTTTTTAAAAATAAATTTTAGTGGAACAATTCTGAAAGGTACACCAGAGGAATGGCAGATTATTTGCACTGTCAGTAATGAAAAGGTGTTAATACACTATTGGACTTTTTGTTTTTGATTCAGCTTGTACCCTAGCTGAAAAACCTCAACTTATAATCATGACAGTGGTATTGTTTTAAGTGTCTACATTCTTTCTAATAAACTGCTGGAAGACTTTTGACTGTCCTTTAAGTGTTTTACTATAACTTCATGTATCTATCATTTACTGGAATCAAGTTTCTGCTTTGGAACAATTTGGGGCTATTCCTCTAAAAAAAGGCTTGCCACGTTACAGGAAAACTTTTTAAAGTGGATCTGTAATCAAAATTGTAGATGCACTTTGCAGCAGCTAGAAAAGGAAGTGTTGTGATTGACTGAAATAAAACCAAATGTGTTGTCCTTAAAAAAAAAAAAAAAAAGCAATTTATTTTTATTATTGACCATATATTCTCCACACATGCAAACCTTAGTTCTAGTGGCTGTTTTAGAGATGCTTTGAGATTTTTTTCCTCACATATTCAACAAGGTCATCTACAAAATAAAAAATATTTTGTCACTTTGAATCTATATTATGTTTTTGTCTTTTTGCGCTTGCTAAGATCTCCAAGGCCATGCTGAGAGCAGATCTCATTGCCTTGTTCTTAATCTTAGGAGCATCCAATTTTTGACAATTATAATACTGACTGTAACCTTTCTGTAAATACTCTTTGTTACATGACGGCAGTTTCCTTCTCTATCCTGCTGAGAGTCTTAAGAACTGATGAGTTTGGTCAACTGCTTTTTCTGTATCTACAGAAATGATTACATGATTTTTCTTTTTCAGTTTGTGAAAAAATAAATGACACTGATTGACTTTTGAATGATGAGTCAACTTAGTATTCCTGAAATAAACCAATCTGGCTGTGATTATTATGTTACAAATTAGATTTCCCAAAAGGTTAGAGGACTCTATCGGGCTACCATGATATACAGGTCAATGGAAAAAGAAGAGAAACAACATATTCATACATGGTTAATCAGTTCTTGACGAAAGTGTCAATGTAATTAAATGGAGAAACCAGTTTTTTCAATAAATAGGGTTGGAACAAGTGGGTA